TACGGTAACTAAGTTCACCCCAGCATACTTACTATTTGGTAACCTCCCTTTTGAATCTCCAATTGATCAAAATAAATACCCTTCCTTAAATGAAGCAAGGGCTTTAGCAAAGAAAAGAACTATCAAATACCACCGAAAGAATAAAACTAGATATGACATCAGATTTGTAGAATCTAAATTTCAACCTGGAGATTTTGTCCTTAATGAGGAATTCGAATACCCAAATACTAGAAAATTGACTTCACCCTATTCAGGCCCTTATCGGATTATGAATAAATTATCTGAAGTTAATTATGAAATCGACAGGGAAAATTTTTACACGAAGAAACCAACTGAGATTGTACATGCGTCAAAATTAAGGTTCTATTATCCACCTGAGAACTTTAAATTACATCATGAATAAATCAAAATTTATAAATCAATAAACTATCCATAACCCTTCTTTTAGTTTTCATCCTGTTGTCCCCCTTAATAGTTGATTTATCTCTCAGTGCCTGCAAAGTTTGTCTGCCCTTTTCTTTTACTGGGCTCCTTCAAAATTGAGTTTCAGGTTCAGTGCACTTTCCGCGTGGGAAACACTCAATTGAGGCTATACTACAAGTAGATTACTATACCCTCACATTTCATTGAGCTCATGTTTTCCTATATTTGTGTTATAAATTGTAGCAACAGTTGAAAAAGTTAAATTTCAGTTGTTGAAATTTCTGAATTTCATTTTATTTTTCTGCAGCATCATGTACAAAAAACTGGTATAGATGTTGGAAGTTAAATTTTGTTTTGTTATCATTAATAAGAGAAAAATAGAGTGACAAAATATGTTAAAAACCTAGCAAAATGTGTATTTTCAACAAGAGTATAAGAGCTCTAGTATCGTGACATAAAAAGTGAAATGTTTTCAGTGCCAATGCTGATCCATAATTCTAACGCTAATTAAATGATCCGGAGATCTCCAAAGACCAGTAAAAGACTGAAGATGAGCCTGAATGACAACTCTAATGATTGTATGGACTCATACACAAACTGTGAATGGCATGCCTTAAGATATCAACTTACAAATTCAGTTATATTACTATTTCCTATTGCCGCGTAGCTAACCAGCAATATGTTATTAGTGCTTTATTTGTTCTGCACTTAGTTACTATATTATAATTTCATTAATCATTTATTATATTTTATATACTGTATTAATTATATTCAAATATTTTATGTCATATTTTATATAACATTTTGTGTTTTGAGGTAAATCCAATCAGTTTTCCTACTCACTTAATTTCCTAATAACTAAAATTTCTGCTCTCACTATCTGGACTGTCTTGGGTCAACGGCCGCAACTGCAAGCCTTTTCAGATGGGGGGATAATCTGTAATGATATTTTTAAATCAATTGATTAAATTAAATTCTAATAATATTGCTTAATAATGTGTTGCCGATTCTCTACCTAAATTGAATCCCTGTTCCTAAATTTTGGCGAAATCCTTTCTTTAGTATAAAATATATTAACCTGTTGGCGCCCGCCAAATCACCAAACTCATAAATCTGTCATATTACATAAAGTCTTTAAGAACACTCCTGATGAGAAGGTAGCGTCACCTCGTGATTTCAATTAATATCGCTGATTGGATGAGCCTCGAGACGCACACATATGTATAAATAGGACTTCTGCTCAAGGTACAAAAAGAACGCTTGTGAGATGGATGCTAAAATAAACCTAGCACTTTATATTCCAAAATTTGTCTCATTCCTGTTGCCCCGGCGCACAAAACAAATAATGTATGAAAAATTACATTTCATATATATATAAATACAAACTACAACAGATTAACTAACCTTTATGCAGTTCCCAAATCCCATAAAACACCATTAAAATTCAGATTTATAGCTAATGGGACTAACAATTACAAGAAAAATGTAGATTATTATTTTTCAATTCAACTGAAAAAAATCTGTAAATTCATTTTCAATGATTGTAACACTAATCATAACTATTGCTGGATCATCCATAATAACACTCCTGTCATTAATGCCATTCAAACAATTAACATCCAAAACATTAACTGCTATGACATTGAAAACTTATATATCTCACTTCCTCTAGAAGAAATCTATACTACTAGATCTGCTTAAACTCTTCCCTGTTATGCTCACAATTATGACTCTTAACAAATGGAAAACCTACCTAGAATGCATACTTTTTCATAACTACATCAGATTAAAAATCAACTTTTTAAGCAAGTCAGAGGTCTGCCAATGGGCTTACATTCCAGCACCTCAATCTGTAATATATTTTTATTTATCAAAGAATTTAACTTCTAAAAAAATCTACAACCACAAGAGTTAAATTACTACAAGCACACTTACAGATATATTGATGACCTTATTACAATTAATAATTTTTGTGAAATTGAACACTCTGAGATTTATCCAAATTGTCTTACACTTAATAAAACTAATAATTCACAAAATAGCATAGACTATCTAGATCTTCAAATCATTAACTACAAAAAAATTTTACTTTTTGACAAAACAAGAAACTTCAATTTCAATACTAACAAATTAATAAATTGGAATTCCAACATATCCAAAAAAGTAATTAACAATACAATAATAAATCAAATACAACGAATTAAAAATATCTGCACAGATACAATAGATCTACAACGCGAAACTTTTCTCCTTATTAAAATTCTCAAAAATAACCTAATACCCAATCGATTTATTAACCATTGCCTTAAAAGAGCAGGCATTAAATACTCACTCTAAATCATTTAACTGATAGGGATATGATAATTTGTTCCTAAACCTGAGAAGGCGGTATAAGTTTGATGACTATCATTTGAAGGATTTGTATATAATGTAATTACTCAGTTGTATATATTGTAAAAAGCTAATTGCCTTCAGACTTATGCTGTTACTAAAAAAATGGGCCTATTTCATAATCTTTAGTCTGTCAAATAGCTCTTTGACAGTGAAAATTCCTTTTTTCCTTTCTTAAACACTTTATTGTTTTGATATGACAATTAACCAGAAATTAATTAATTTCCATTCACTAGTATTTTCAAAATAATTTTAACAGAAGGTTTCACTCAAATAAGACTCCACAGAATACATCCCTCAAGAATTTCGAGTTCCACCCACTACCATAAATTACTTCACCCAAGTTTTACCGACTGATATTATTCAAAGCCCCCACTGCCACTAAGAATTTTTCGGAAACACTACATTTCTGAGTCAGACGCGAAGAGAACACTTGCCCACTCCCCCACTAGAAAGAACGTAAGTTTATTAATACTTTTTCTGGCCCTTATATCTTCATGTACATTCACTTTTCTTATTATATTTTTTTTTATATTATTTTTGATTTGTTTTTGCAAAGTTTGCATTATTTATCTTGTATTTTGTAATTTTCTAATGTTTATATCAACTACTTTGAATTATATTTCATAATGACAATTTCCAATGTTTAATTTTTACAAATAATATTGAACTCAAATGCATAAACACGAGGGTGTCGGAGGACAGTTACTCGAGCTTTATAGAAATTTACTACTGTAGAAATTGCTTTTCACTCAAAATTGAATTGGTTAAAATGCTTAATAGGAATAAGTTCTTTGAATATCAGCATTGGCTCATAATTCCTTCTGTTCACGGCAATATTAGGCCTGACTTGCATTGCCGGTTTGGCTTAACCTTATTGCTCGAGTAAAGATTAAACACCTTGGTATTTATTTATTAATTATTGTTCATTGAACGGGAGTTGGTTTGTTCCCCTTGAAAAGTCAACTAATTTCCGATCAATGACAACGTTTACATACAATTACTTTAATTCTTGCCTTTAATTTATTCCTTTTTGCAATCGAAATTTTGTTATTCATGATTTAATTCCAGTCCCCGTTAAAACATTCTTAACATTTTGCTTTCAAGTTACTTTGAAACATCTTTCAAAATATAACTTACTAATATGGATTCACTCTTTTAAGATAATCCTACTATAATTAAACTTAGGAGATAATATAATCAATTAATGAATATTTTAGTATATATATATATATATATATATATATATACACACACACACACACACCATGCTTACTCGCATGTTTTCTCCCCCTAGCATAATTTTCCTCCTAGTTTCTTCAGCATGATTTAGGAATTTCTAATTTATGGTAACAATGTGAAATGTATCCACTTGGGAAAGAATTTTGTGTTATTAAATAGAATAATATTAACATTGAGTCCTTTAAAATGCATAATATAATACAATTAGTGTAAATTAAGTACACTAATTATATTATGCATTTTATATTATTTTGTCTTATACAATTAGTGCATTACAAACAGTGTATAAACAATATAGTCTTTAGTGTCTTTTGTTTGTCATTTCATAATAATAGTAATTAGAACTTGTAATTTTCCCCTCATAGTTTTCAAGCATTCAAATTTGTAGGAAAAGGGGAGGAAAATATGCAAGTAAATGCGGTATACATTTTCTTAATTTGAGAGGTAAATAAAAGGTGTGAAGCTATGTGAATTGATATCTGCATCTATGATTCAAGTTCTCTTAAGAACTTTCTATTTTTAATGAAAAAGGAAACAAGATATTATTTTAGTGTTTATGGCTTCTGTTGTAGACTTTCAGATAGTGAGAAGGTGATATTTCAATTCTGATTGTAGCTGCATTGTGAGACATGGGTACAGAAACTGAAAAGTATTCTCAAAGCTTCCCTCTAAGCATATGTTATCTCAAAATCAAACAATTCATAGATTGCCAGTTTGAAGAATTGTCTCTAAGAGTCCAAAAGTCAGAATTTCCAGATAATTATTGAATAATTTTAGTATTTTACAATCATTCTACAAATTGCTCTTTTTTTATTGAAATAACATCTTGAAAAATACCAGATAAAAAAACATTATTTGTATAATCATTTCTGATTTTGTTACCCATGTTTTGTGTCCGTATTTTAAATTTTATTCAAAAACCAGTTTAATTTTTTTAAATATAGTACATGATCTCTGCTCTCCATGATTGTATTGCTCCAATCCTGTCTTCTCATCATGAATCATCAGCTCTAATTTTGTTAAATGCATTTCAGAAAGAAACGTATTTGACTATCAAAAAGGTTAGTTTACATTTTTGATTGAAATATGTTTTTCCATTTCATGTATTGTGTTTTTCATATGATTTGTGCTTTTAGTAAATTCTAATTATAATTAAACTACACTTGTGTTTAAGATGTTATTTTATTTATTTATTTTTTAATTTCACTGTCACATGCAATGCCTTTTCAGTCTGTGAAATGACAGGTTTACTTAAAAAGGCAGAAGATTTAACTTTGATCTTTTTCCCCTGAACATTTCAAATTATAACTATTTTGGTTAATTTGATGTAGTTTGAAATTTTAATGCCATCAGCCTGATGTTGAAAGAAATTTTTATTTAGAATTAGAGATAAGGGTAGTGATTAAGGTTAGTTTATTATAATGGGATGTAAAAAATAAAGGCAATTTTTTTGAGTGATTAAAATAACTGCAACTGATAAATTAAAATATTTAACCCACTGCTGACAAAAGGAGCTTTGCTTAAGCATCTGTATGGACCATATATGTGTGTTAGCCATCTGCAGCAGTGTTAATGATGGGAAGTTTAACTATATGTTGCTATTTACCTCCATACATTCACATTTAAGACCATTTATTAAAAAAAGTAACTTTTTTTAATTAATTTTTTTTAATCAAAAATGAAAACATCATTGTTTATTCTTTATTGTAAATATATGTTTCTGGGTATTTTTAATGTCTGTTAAATGTCTTGTCAAATGCTGAGAAATAAATAAATTTCCAATCAATGATATTAAGAGTAATGGCCAAATAATTACTTAATAAGCTTGAGTAGAATTTTATGAATATGCGTACAGCTGAACTCATTGGTAAAAGACAGTTGCTAAATACTACATGCAGGTGCTATGAAATTTGGCAAAAACTTGCTGTAGAAACTCTTTTATTCAAATTAATTGATGTAGACCTGTTTTAGATGACCCAGGGTAAATATTTTTGGCAGCTTACAGCAAAAATGTGTAACTGTAGCATCAAGTAAAATTATATCTTGGAGTAATTTGCTTATCTGTGTTAAAGTAAAGAGTGATTATCCTAGATTTAAATTGTGCCCTTTTTACTGCAGCACAACATATACTACTTCCTGATCTGGAAGGTCAGGTAAGTTATCAGTAAAGAATAATAATAAATAAAAAGCATCTGATCTGTTGTACAGTTGTTCCATTATTAATGCAAGTCTTATGCAAATAAACCAAACTTCAGAATTTCCTTCTTAAGTTTTTATTTTTCATAAAGTCCTGTAGGTGGAACAGTGTCTGGTTTCTGCTATTATTGCATTCATTTTAATGCTGTTTGATCACATTATGCACAAACTACGATAAATGTTTAAGAAATTTATATTTTATGTTATTTATGTTAAAAGTGATATAAACTGAGTTTTCATCAATCAAATTATATATATATGTGTATAAATTTAATTAAATTTAATATGTGTATAAATATAATTAAAATTAAATGTGTGTGTATAAATATAATTAAAATTAAATGTGTGTGTATAAATTTAATAAATTAATTTATTAAAAACTTTACTAAATGAAACGCATTTTATCTTTCACATTTTGCTAAATTTTGTTTAGTTGTATGTACACATGTACAAGATTGTGTATAAATTTTGTGAAATTTTTCAATAGAATTTCTCAACAGAAAGTGTATGATAACATTCAATGAACTTCTTTCAGTTCTAAAATCCTTCAAGGAATCTGAAGTGCATTTCCTGATTTTGCAGCTGCTGGCATACCAGTGTATAGGGATTCTGTGTTAGCCATATGTGCAATATATTCATAAATGTTTTTGCTAATTATTGGTAAATTTTGATCAATGGAAATGTACTTCAGGATAAATCACTAAATTTCTTTCACTCTGCAGGCATTGTTCATCCAGCGAATCTTCTCAACGGAATCCAGACATTCAAGTAATTTTGCATAGTTTGTTTGCTGACAGAGTTACTATGCATTGTTAAGCATCTGCAAGGAATCAGACAAAGATAATAATCTTCATTGCATTCACAGTTTTCTTTTCTATCCTTAACAACAATCACCTTCTTGACCACAGTCTTTCTGTAGTGACATTGTAACGCCTGCTATGAGTTCCAACTAACTTAGCTACACGCTTGTTCTGTGCAGTGACTTATAGAATAGCTAACCATATCTAACAAATTGACATAGAATTAAAATACTTTAAAGTTTATTCTCCCTCAGCACTTGTGTTTAAATTAAAATACACAAACAAAAAATTACCAGCCGATCTGGACCTGGTTTCAACACAAAGCTTCCTTTGCAAGGAAAAAAAAAAAGGAAATAATAAATTTGACTATTTTAACCTAATCCAGGCAAAGACTACAAGCTTTCTTAGATTTAATAATTTCAAAAACACATTTACCAAACGAGCAAACCTCCGCCTAAAGTATTCCCTGCAAGAACAGTCTTTTCGTCAGTTGGGTGGGCAGTGGAAGCAGTCCAAACTCTTGCTCTCTAAAATGTGAAATTTTACACTTTATCATAAAACCACTTGCCATTCACAATCTACATAAATTCTGGAATGAGGAAACATCACTATGAAAAGAAATAGAAAGGAAAGAATTAAATAACATTTCATTAGTAAAACTTAAATATAAATGCCACAACATTTGAAGGCTTTTATAATTTCCTGTTTCAAAGAGTGAATGATAGAAATTTTCTTTAGAGGTAGAAACATCTGTCCATAAAGCTCATGAATCAACTGTTCCTGAGTATGTAACTTAGTAGTATTCAGTTAAAAAAAGATGTGATGTAATGTCAGTAAGAAAGATCATACAACCAGGGTTTGTTTCTAGCTGCTGAATAGCTTTCCCTTTTATATTACTACTGTGTTCTATGCTACTACAACTACTGTGTTTGATGCAATTATTGATGGACCCCCCATTGGTAGATGTTCCACTTAGCATTTCCTACTTTAGGTTGAAACTAATAAAAGTATCTTTTATTTCCTGGAAAATGTCTTTACCCCTTGTTGTATCCATCATTGGTTAGAGAGCATGCAATTCCTCGACTGAATTGAAGTTAGGATAATGTCCATCAATAAATATAGACAACTGAATGGTATCAATGGTGCCTGAGCTGTTATTAAGAGCAATGGAAAATGCTTCAGATTTTGATGTGATGGATAATGTATTGTTTTTAATATATAATTTTATTTCAGTGGCCATTTCATTAATTCAAAATGTTGCTATCTTTTTAATTTCATTGCTTTTTTCAGGACACAGCGCTTTTGTGTCGGCAGTAGCATAGTCCTTGACAAACTCATCTTCGGAATATTATTTTGAGTGTTTTGCAGGTTTAACCATTGAGAGTAAAGCTTGCTTGAACAATTTTGTCAAGTACATCATTATGTTATGTTGGCGGAACAGCATCTGTGTACAGATATACTCTTTTTCTAATCTTGTATCTTATGTGTTCTCAGTTGATTCTTGTAATTAGTTTGTTTTGTATTGTTTAAGTTGCATTCTTTCAAAACTGAAATAGTTTCTAAACATATCAAACAAAGAGGTTATTTGCTACTACATTCCAAAAAATCCTCGGTCCACTTCACTTGAAATGCATGGTTCTCATCTTCAACTTTTCTCTTCTTTGATAAAGCCTTCTTAATTAGCGTTTCATCGCAAATTAACAAATATATGAAACTGACATAAAATGGAAACTGGTAACTACATACAGCAGCAGTGAGTGCAATCAAACTACTGACAGCAGAAGAAACAGACAAGCAACAAAGCCCAACCAGTGGCAAATGATGGCCATTAACCCTTTGACAGTTAGGGAAATGAGCAATTGTCGTTTACTTAATTTGTGCAGTATTACGAGTAAACAGTAGTCAAAAGTGACAGCAGTTTTCCCCCACCGTTCTTTCGAAAATATCACCCTTCTCTGGCGATGCCGCAGATAGCTCAACTTAAAGCCTTTTTAAAAATTTCTTAAAGCATTTGTAGTACCTAAATAACAGTTTTTACGTACTTTAAAATAATTAATAAATAATTATCAAATAGTAAATTATAAATGATTACAATCAATTATATAAATAATAATAGTTAATTATAAGACAAATATTAAATTGAAAGGACTAAATAAATACAACAGATGTAGCATTTAATAATTAATGAAAGGACTAAATAAATACAACTAATTAAGCATTTAAATACAGTAATTACCTAAAAATCTTTTTTGTGTGTGATATACATTAAAACTAAATCGTAAACTAAACTAACCAGTAAAACTAAATCGGCTAGGAGCGTGAGAACTTGAATCAATTTTACACCACTGTCGAACACTCGAAAAATCTTCATCGGTTGAATCGTCTTCTGAGCTTGATATACTGTGAACAGTCTTCATCAGACTCAAAACTTAATAAGCTTTCTGTATCACAAGTATAATCACCATCATAATTATCTAACTTTCGCTTTTGAGCCATTTTACTTTACAAACACCCTAAAAAATGTGCCAAAATATGCATAAAAAGAACAATGTAAAAGAAAATTCCCCCTTCATTATGAAAAGAAATTTCTGAAATGCGTCCTGCCATCTGTAGACAGTAAAACTAACTAAATTTCATGAGTAGGATTCCTTTGTAACATAATCAATGCAGAATAATAATGACAAATGAGCTCAGCTCGTCAGCGCGTATTGGGGAAAAATTTCACTATGCAAGTAGTACTCGTTTCTAACCATTTGGGTCAAAATCTTGCTCCTGAGTGGAACTCGTCTGTGCGCATTATGAAGCATGATTCGATTGCGAGCTGAACTCATTCATAACCATCAAAGGGTTAAGATGCGATTCCTACGAAAACAAACAAACAAGAAAAAAGGGGAAAATAAGAATGAAAAGTTTAAAAAATAGGGAAAAATAGAATTTTTACAAAATCATTCATTACAACTATGAGTAATGGGCCAGATTCAATGATATTTAGGAAGGTTGTCATGGGCGAAGGGCCCATAGGCCGTATGTTCCACATACCTGTTTTAAGTAATGAGAGCCAATAAGAATATCATCCATGTAAAATGCTTCTTCCAGCAACTGTTGATACCCTTGGTAATGATTCTTAATCTTCATCACACTACTACTTCAGTATCCTTGTTGCTAAGTAAATAGCACTTGTAGTTTCATATGTAACAGCAATAAAGATCTTAATAGATTCATTTGAGTCTTCCTTCCATAATATTCTTCGCAAGTCTTTTTGTGATGTGTGTAATAATATCTGGCTATACATCATTCAAATATCTGCTGTACATTCATAAGCATGCTTCCTGAAGTCCAGCATTATTGAAAAGAGATCTTGTGGTATTTTGTCATTTTTCTGAAGTTGGTTTAAAGATATAAGGTGAGAGCTAGCTACTAGAAGATGGTGAAACTGAGCCATTATAAATTATGAATATCTGAGCAACTTGATCAGTATTTGCCTGAATTTGAAGGTGATAAAATTGGTCTGACTGTGTAACGCATTGCGCTTATGCCTTAAACTCAGAGACTGAGAAAAACAATCATTTTAATATAATTGTTTCTTCTAATTATCATAAACATAAACTGATCTTATGTTCCATATCAGCTTTAGTGTTCTGATGCATAGTAGAGTGTAATTTGTTTGAATTACTGTATAGTTTGATTGTATTTTTGTTAACTGTTGGGGATGTATGAAGATTATGTAACATTTATATATCTTATAAATGTCTACTTTTATATGTATGTGTGTGTGTATATATATATATATACACATACATGCACATATCTATAATGTATAGTTGCCAAAAGTGACAATCTGTGTGATGTCAAGAAGGCACAATTTAAAAAACATGAAGCATAAACTTGGAAACCAAACTGAGATGTTGGTAAATTAAAACAATAAAATAAATAAATGAATAAATTCCTTGATCTTTCTCAAAGAGCTGCCAAAAGAATTATCAAGAAATTGAGGAATTACTTTGTTCATTAACTTGTTTTGTTTTTGTTTTAATTTATGTATATTTCAGATTTGATTTCCAAGATTATGCTCAATACTGTCCTTATTGAATTTCCTCCTTTTTTATGTTAAATAATTTGCCACTTTTGGTTACTTTTTGATAAATTAATTAAGCGTTTAATGTCACATTAGTAGTATTTAATTAAATGTTCAAGTTTTGGTCTCTCTGTCTCTACATGTATTTTAATTTTTTTTTCTTTTTTTTCTTTTTTTTTTAGCATTTGCTTGATCCTTTATGCAATGATATTGAAACTGAACTTCGTCTTCACTGTCATTATCATCTTCAACTAGATGACAGAAATCCACTTAAAATTGGTCTAAAGGACTTCTCTCATTTGCTTAATATATCTTCTTTCAGGCTCTTTGATCAGTTTATCAATGTAAAATGTAAGTTATGTATAACTTAATTTCTACTGAAAACTAATATATACAAACATGGTGATTTTTTTTTTAAACACAATTTGTTTCATTTCTTGCTTTTAAAGGACAGATTTTTAGTTTTGAAAACAGTTCTTGGAAATAATTGTGCATACAGATATAATGTATGTCAGTGGATATTGTAACATATATGAAAATTAGATTACTTTTATTCCTGATACAGTTTCAGTAAATGGAGAAAAAACTGAAAAAGAGTATATAGCTTAATCAGATTGTAATTAACTTGTAAATAGTTTTGATTTGACCATCTAATAATTGATTTCAGAATATAAATTTTCTGTTTTTATAAAATAAATTATTTTAAATTCAAGGTTTAGTGTTAAACCCCACTTATGCACATGTTGTGTAGTTTTGTAACTTTGATCATAAATCTATGGTTAATTCAAAACCCCCCAAAAAATTCATTGTTTTGATTTCCAATGGTTAGGCAAAAAGTTACAAAGAACTAAAATGTTATAGTCAGAGGTTATAAACAGTAGAACTAAGAACAAAAAGGCCAAAGTCATTGCCTAAAGAGCATTTTTTCCTCTCAATATCTCGACTCTTCTATAAGACCAGAAAGAGCTGCACATTGAAGCAGGTGGTCCCTGTCCATTTCTTCTCCAGAATCACCATGTGTGCAAATAGGATTGCTTGAAATGCCTATTTGGTGCAGTTTTGCAGCAAAGCAATCACGTCTTGTAGACAGACAGAAAGCTGCCAATGCATTGCATCTTGGACTCTCGGGAATAAGATAAGGACTTAATATTCTCTACCTTTTTAAGGCAGTATGAGTCTGAAGATATTAGTAAATAAATACGTAATTACGTAAGTAAATTTTTTTAAAGCAGTTTAATCCTCCATTGTCTGCATTAGGATGTTGTAGTAAGCTGGCAGCTTTTTTTGCAAGGAAGTCTTTTTGTTCATTGCCCCAAAGGCCACAATGACCAGGCACTCACTGGAAAACGATTGTTTCCCCTTTAAAGTGAGTGTTCTCAGGAATTCTAGGCATTCCAAAATTTCAGATTTTAATGGTTATTCAACAGAGCTAATTGATCAGATGGCTGCATGAGAATCAGAAAAAGTGACTGCCTTTGCAAACTTGAATTGGATAGCTAATAATTGCTTTAAGGCTATACATATGGCTGTTACTTCACCATCAAAGAAGGAAAGAATGTACCAAAAAAAAAAAAAAAAAAAAAAAAAAAAGTCTACTGTATACCAACTTCATTTATATATATATATATAATATAGTTTCATAAGAAAAAATTGAATTTAATTAAATAAATTTAATTTAAATAAATTGATTAAATTTAAATACAAATTTAATTAAATTCTTTGCGCCATTGCTGCAAGGAATGAAATTTAAATTTAAACAAATTAAATTAAAATTTTAACAAACACATATAAAAGTAAAAAAGCAAATTTAAAGCCAAAATTAAAAAAAAGCAAATTTAAAGCCAAAAAAATTGAAAAAAAAAGTGTAAACATTTAAAAGATTTAATTCTCGAACTAATCTACAATATCATTTAAATTCAGAAGCATAAGCAAATCAAGTGCAAAACCAATCCATGAAAATAAATTCACCAATTTAGCAAATTAAAATTAATCCAAACAATTTTTTTTTAAATGCATAAGTGAATGACTGTTGAGCAGGCAGGAGACAGACTTATCAAGGGGAAGTTGCCTCCAAACCAAAGATTGGATATCCAATCTTTGGTTTGATTTCCAATCCTCCAAACCAAAGATCTCCAAAGATTGGAGAGTTAGGTTTGGAGGCAACTTCCCCTTGATAAGTCTGTCTCCTGCCTGCTCAACAGTCATTCACTTATGCATTTAAAAAAAAAATTTAAATTAATTTTAATTTGCTAAATTAGTGAATTTATTTTCATGGATTGGTTTTGCACTTGATTTGCTTATGCTTCTGAATTTAAATGATATTGTAGATTAGTTCGAGAATTAAATCTTTTATATGTTTACACATTTTTTTTAAATAATTTTTTCAATTTTTTTGGCTTTAAATTTGCTTTTTTAAATTTTGGCTTTAAATTTGCTTTTTTACTTTTATACGTGTTTGTTGAAATTTAAATTTAATTTGTTTAAATATATATATATATATATATATATATATATATATATATAATGTATTATTTGGTACTATCTTCAGAAACTGTACTAGTAGAGCAATAAGTATAAAATTATTTATGGTTTGAAAACTTGATTTTTTTAACTGTGTTCTGGAATTTTTATAGGATATGCTATAAACATTTTTCTCAAATTTTCAAGATTTTTTAACATTAGGTTATTTTGAAGCAGGAGACATGAAAAATGAGCAATGTCCTTGCCAGGACTCGGAACTTGGACCCCTTGAATACACGGTAAGTGTGCTACCGTTACACCATGAAGACATGCAGAAAGGAGGGAGAAAACACCTTATTTACTCCCCCTTTTAAAGGGCAACTGGGTAAAGGGTCCCAATCGCCAAATCCCGGTGGTGAAGAATCGTCATCCACTACCTTTTAGTTTGGGCATCATTAGGTTATTTTGAAGTTTGGAGACTTGAAAAATGAGCAGTGCCCTTGCCGGAACTCGAACCTGGACCTCTCGAATATGTGTGAGTGTGCTACTGATACACGATGAAGGCATACAGAAAGGAGGGGGGAAATGCCTTATAATCGTAATTATTTCTTTTAATAAACTTTTCTGCTTTTTAATAAATGAAGAATTTCAAAACTGATGGTTGTCAGTGGCATGATAACCAGACTAACATGAAAGGCATTCATAATTAGATTTCAAAACATGCTTTTCATGAGTATTTTTTTAGGGGGGAGGGGGGAGATTGGTGGTGATTGTGCAGTGTTCTACTTACAATGTCAGTTGAATTGAGGATGATGCAGGTGAAGTCATCCCTGAAAACGTAAGTTTCTCTGGAACCATTTATGAATGTTAAAAATCTATGCCAAATAAATGTTGCTTTTTTGCCTACTTAATTTGTTTTTGCATTCCTTTAAATAATGTGAATTTCATACTTTGACATTTTTGACAGCATATCAATGAAGTTTATGTTTCATTTCAAGAATTTAATATGGTAAACCTCTTAACTGCAGGATACTAGTCCAAGTGAATATTTTTCCGCAAAAGAACAGCAGACTTTGAATTGTTGCCCTTAATTATACAGGTATATGATATATGCCACAGCTTCCTCATGGCAACAATCAATAACAATGTTAAAAGCAACAAAAACAGTTGAAACATTTGTTACAAATTGCTGCTACAATAAAAGCGTTAGCAAATTTTTTTACGTGTCTATATTCAAGGACAATGAAAAAAAAATTTTTAAAGCTGGATTGGAGATTTGGCGCTATTGAAAAATTAGTCAACTTGATTATGAACATAGGGGTTTGAAAAAAGAAATTTTAAAGCTAGATTGGAAATTTGGCAGTATTGAAAAATTAGTGAACTTTATTATGAACATAGGAATTAAATGTTATATTCCCCCAAAAATGAGTCTTATAAGGATATTCTCTCAAGTATAATTAATCATACATCCATTGAATGAGCATAAAAGTGCTATCATCTGATTGGAAGTGTCTAGAAACAAGACAATTCACTGAAATATTAAGAGATACCTGCCAGTGTACAAACTAAATTAGACAAAGTTTCAACCTTGTGTTGGCATAGATTTTAAAATAAAACTATACAGATTTCTAATGCAATCAATCAAAGATCTCTTCTCTTCAGAGGGAAAAAAGACATCTACAAATGAAACAAAGAATTTTTTTTTTTTTAATTGAAAGAGTTTCATTTCAAATATCAATTTCAGGAGGAATAAGTAATTTCATGAATCAGAAGTCATGCATGCATTCCATGTATGGAACTGCAAACAAGAATGCAAATGAAACTTTATGCTTCCCTAATGCTATTTTAACCTTATGCTTTCCCTTCCTTTCCTTATACTAGATTATAAAACTTGTGAATGATTGTGAATTTATGAGCAGAGTGAGTATCTGTGTGAGCATCTTGCAGAACACAGGATAGAACACCATGGGAAATTTCTTGACTGCTGCAATTCAGATGCTTCTTACCTAACGAAGAATTGTTAAGCATCTGAATTGTAGCAGAAATTTCCAGTGCCATAAATGTGCCCCATTTAATGTTGTGGCATGCACTTATGAGACCAAATAATTAAATCCTACCATGTATACAGGATACATGCCTTGACACCTGCAGATAACAAGACATATTGATTCTGCACACTGGCATCTTTAGCAGACTGCAGTGGATCTAGAATTTGCTGCACATTAATGAATTTACTGAAGAATGCACATGAAGGAGTTTCTGACTACCATAATCCTTATGTGTGGGCAGCCAATAATCTGCGCATCACACTTCGACATTTATATTAGTAGCGTATCTGTATAAATGTTTGTGTAGACATCATGTTTGACCATTTGATTGGCTCATGTCTTTAACCAGACCGACTGGTCAAGAATGCACCTGTTATTTTTGCAAGGAGTCATGCCAGTACCACTGCATCCTCTTCCATCAAACATTAAAACATGTATATGGATCCAGTATGCCACCATGTTTCAGCTTGGAAAGATTGTTTGGAAGGACCATCCCATTTCATCTCGAATGTCTGGGATGCAGTAATCCTGGAATAATCGATTGATCGGGATGAACCAATCACTTGGCTAGAATGATTTTTGGATCTCTAATCTGGTCATGTTCCTTTCTTTTTGAATAGCCTCATTTGCAAAAGTCTCATTGATTTCAGTCAGGATCTTATTGCCAAAATTTCTGTTTCAATTGTTCAAGAAATGCATTGTATTTTTGCCAGAAGCTTACACTCATATTGGCTTTTGTTTTTTTAGAGCAGCTTCTATAATTTATTCAATTTTTCCGTGCCTTCTTTGTTGTTCTTATATTTGCTATTCCCTTTTGCTTCATTGCTGGAATTATACATGTGTGTTATAGGATGAAACATGATTTTCAGGTGCATTCTATCAGCTCTTAAAATTTGAAGAATTTTGAATTACTTTATATATATAGGCTTATATATATAGGCATGCCTACTGCATTATCTAAAGTGGTTTGGAAAGTATAAAGCATATATGCATGCTTGAAATGACTGCAAACTACTTTTTCTACAGTCTCATAATCTGATCAGTGAGTAGTAGCATTAATATATAAAACTTCTGCACTATGAAACTGGAGAATGTTTCAACTTACTAGCCCAGTTTTATTTTGTGCGAGAGAAAAGCCAGCTCATAATTGCTTTTAAATGTAACTTTAAATCTCCCTCTAAATACCCTTCTGTAAACAGATTCAGACTTTTTTACTTATGAAATTTGATATTTATTATTTAATTAAACATAAAATTACTTTGTATATTAACATTGCAGCAAAAATTTTATTTTTGTTTCATGAAACTGAAAATTTCTTGTTTTTAATATCTTAAAATAAGAGTGGACTGCGTTTTAGTAAATTTTAGAAGACTGATAGAATGTCACATTTATTTTTTAGCATATGTGGAGCATTATTTAGAAAAAGTATTTTATAACCTAACAACTGTGGCTTTACATGATTGGAAAACGTATGGAGAAATGAGAAGTTTAGCTAAACATAACTATGGCCTTATAACAGTTGAAGCTTATTTACCTAGTCAGACTCTAGAACAGGTTTGTCTTAAAAATATCTTCATTAAGTTATAATGTGTGTGTTTTTTAAACAGAATTAAGTATTTTTAACATAGTTAATATTGTCATTTCCACATTTAATATTCAAGTAAAATGAGTTTGATTTCATTTTGATCTGTTTCTGATTTTCATTAAAATTTTTTGAAGTGTTCATCTAAGAAATTGTATAAATTGTTATGAAGGTATTGTAATGCAGGTAAGCTTCTGATTTTTAGGTATCTGTTAAGAAGTTCTTAAGTAACCCTGTGTTGAAGAAGTTCACAGAAAATGCCTGTAGAGTATCCTGTATGAAATGTTAAAATTTTTTTCATAGTTGTTTTCAAAGTAAAGTCTGGGGAAGCATATATACTTGTTCCAATAATCCTGAACATTTTGGAAACATTGGAAGAATGCATGTATTCTGTATTGCAGATAGCCTGTCATGTCATTTTGAACAACTTAAATTGTCTAAAAGTGTTGACTCCATAGAACTATCTTGAGTAGAGAGAAATCTGGTAAATAATGTGGTTGTGGCATGACAGTGATTAGCCTTTTAACTGCCATGCCCAAAATAATCTCGGGCACAGCACTGGTATTCCAAAATGTCACACCTGAATATTACTCATGCTAATTTTTTTTTGAGTGCATCATATTGTTATACCTGAATATATATCGTGAGAAGTTTATTTCGGCTTCAGTTCAACAGATGGCAGCAATTGCCTGAAGGTTTCAAATTATAGAGGTTAGAGTTCAAAGTGCACGGCATTTTTTTTTTACTTTGAGGCAATCGTTTCATTTTTGGAATAAAAAAATGACAATTTATGCACCCAAATCATCAAAATAACTTGACAGTTAAAAGGTTAAGTTCATATCAAAACAATCCAAGATTCTTTTTTCAGGCAATCTTTGCTCAAAAGGAGGAATTGTGCCACTTGGTCAAAAATTGCTTTCACTTTGCACTGTGGTCCAAATTGTTTTTTCCTGGATGATGTTATTTCAGACATTTTTTTCTGTCAAGAGTGAATTAAAGCACTTGTAACAGTCAGATTAATTTATTACAAATTTCGTACATGTCCTGTGAATTTTCTGCAAGGCTTTTGAAGAGAAGTATTTACAAAGTGTTATTTGAAGAGCAACTTTTGATTATTGTAGGAAGCTTTGTTCTATCCAGGAACATAATGAATATGAACTTACTTCCTAGGTGGCTCTCTAGGGGCTTGAAATGACTAATCCGACTTATTAATAACTCGCATATTTGATGAAAACACGAATAGCTGCTACAAACTACAAGGTGATTACGTATGTGGCAGGAAATAGATGAGACTATATACAAGTGAAGCAAAGCTAACGTTTTTTACACATATGCATCTTTGAATACCATCCTTTATACACACTGAAGTGACAAAAGTCATGGGATACCTCCTAATATTTTGTCAGTCCTCCTTTTGCCTGATGAAGTGCAGCAACTCGACGTGGCATGGACTCAACAAGTTGGAAGTCCCCTGCAGGAATATTGAGCCATGCTGCCTCTATAGACGTCCATAATTGTGAAAGTGTTGATGGTGCAGGGTTTTGGGCATGAACTGACCTCTCGATGATGTCCCATAAATGTTTGATGGGATCATGTCGGGCGATCTAGGTGGCCAGATCATTCGCTGGAATTGTCCAGAATGTTCTAACCAATCGCGAACAATTGTGGCCCGGTGACATGGCGCATTGTCATCCATAAAAATCCCATCATTGTTTGAGTTTGTGAAGTCCATGAATGGCTGTAAGTGATCTCCAAGTAGCTGAAGGTATCCATTTCCAGTCAATGATCGGTTCATTTGCACCAGAGGACTGAGTCCATGCCATGTAAAAACAGCTCAGACCATTATGGAACCACCACCAGCTTGAACAGTGCCTTGTTGACAACTTGGGTCCATGGCTTCGTGGGGTCTGCCACACTCGAACCCTATCCTCAGCTCTTACCAACTGAAATCGTGACTCATCTGACCAAGCCACGGTTTTCCATTCGTTTAGGGACCAACCGATGTGCGCAAGAGCCCACGAGAGTCACTGCAGGCAATGTCGTGCTGTCAGTAAAGGAACTCGAGTTGGTCTTCTGCTGGCATAGCCCAAGGAAGACAAATTTCGACGCACTGTCCTATCGGACACATCCCTCGTACGTCCCACATTGATTTCTGTGGTTATTTGACGCAGTGTTGCTTGTCTGTGAACATTGACAACTCTACGCAGACGTCGCTGGTCTCGGTTGTTAAGTGCAGGTGGTCGGCCACTGCGCTGTCCATGGTGGGATGTTATGCCTGAAATTAGATACTCTCGGCACACTCTTGACACTGTGGATCTCGGAATGTTGAATTCCCTAACGATATCTGAAATGGAATGACCCATGCGTCTAGCTCCAACTACCATTCCGCGTTCAAGGTCTGTTAATTCTTGTCGTGCGGCCATAATCACGTCAAAGCCTCTTCACATGAATAACTTGAACACAAATGAAAGCCCTGCCAAAGCACTTCGCATTTATACATTTTCTACGCGATACTACTGCCATCTGTATATTTTCATATTGCTATCCCACGACTTTTGTCACTTTAGTGTATACACGTCTTTAAATGCTGTCGGTGTCGTCTGGCTCTTACCAGCGTCCTTCTCCGAATGATTGCGCAGATCACTCTCTTGTAGTCCAAAGTCGTTTTTTCTATGGCTTGGCTCTACATCTACTCGATGATGCATTTCCATAACTGCTCGTTCCATCCTGATAGAATGCGGCATTCTTGTAGTACCACCATCTACACCTAAGGATCTGAAAATAAAACTAAAAAAACAAAACAAAAAAAATATTTAGTTAGTATTGAGGGAAAAGTTGTCTTAAATGGTTATTTCAGCCATCTTCCCTCAACATCTTAACATCTTCAGAAATAACGGCGTTAGCTCTTCTTAAACGCTCTTTCAGCGTTCGTTCATCTTTAACTGTCTATCTGAATGCATGTATTTCTCAAACACGTCTTCTTTGATGTTGTCTGGAACAATTCGTCTTCGTATTTATGTCTTTTTAAACATCGTCTGAATACGTCTTCTGGATGTGTCTTCTTAGATACCGTCTGAATACGTCTTCTGAATGTGTCTTTTTAAATCATTTTCTTTAAGCCGTCTTCCTTAATAGATTTCATCCTTAGACATCATCTTCATTCTTCTTAAAATAGTTCATTAGTGAAATCGGGACAAGTCTATAATCAGGAATCGTCAAAATCGGTATTTCATTATCAAAGCCTTTTGGTTTTCTTCCTGGATCTTCTGAATCTGCTGCTTTGCTTTCTTTTTTCTCACCTTCTTTAGTTTCTTTTGTTTCGTCTTTGCTTTCTGTATCAGCGTCGTTCTCATCAGGTTTTCTGATCAACTTCAATCTTTTCTTCTTCGATGGTCTCTGTAGTTTCTTCGTCTCCAGTAGCATCTTTTGCTTCTCTATTGCAAGGTATTTTATTGAAATTGTTCTTATGGAATTCACATTTGATTCATCACCTTTAGCAACTGACGCTTCTTCGGGAAAATGCTTCTCTTCAGAATCTCCTTCTGTATTGGCGTTTCTCCTCATTGGCTTCGAATCTGTATATTGTGTCTTCTTGAGCCTTCTTCCACTAATTCATGGTTCACAACGTCACTTTCATTCACACTTTGTAAAGCACATCATTTTGTAAAGAATAATCGTAATATGGCTTAGACTTCAAAATTTCTTTTATAACTTTTATATTTTCATCAGTTTCTTGAGCCTGAATTATCTTAAATGTGATACTATCTTGAATTATCTTACATACAGGGTTTCTAGTCAAAGCTTCAACATGTTGGATATGGGTACCAGATCTGTGTTCGATTGTGTAATCATAATCTTGTAACATTAATGCTCAGCTAGATATTTTAGTACAAATGTCTTTCTTGCTCATAGTTTGTTTGAATTCATTACAGTCTGTCGTGATTTTAAACGATATGCCTAATACGTACACTCTGAATTTTTTAAGAGCATCTACGACTGCTTTAACCTCTAGTTCATAGCTCGAATATTTATGTTCAGTGTCTGTTGCCTTCCTGCTCATATAATAAACCGGATGCATCTTATTATCAGTTAAGGATTTCTGTAACAGAACTGCACCATAACTGTTAGCACTATTGTATTAAAACCTGGTGAATTCTTTCCGAATATTTAATTGCCATGTGTGAAATAGCCAGTTGTGTTTCTGTTGATGATTCAGCAATTCTTGATTATGTAATCAATGGGGTACCAGATCAGAGTAGCAACAAAATTATTTTGTATGGGTGTAAAACTATTTCTGAATTCAAAGAGAAATTTAAAATTTATGAAAACATTTGTGTTCCAGATATGAAGAATAAGGGTTATTCAAGTGCTAACACACAAAATAAACTATGCACTATACCTAGTAAGAGTAAAGAACCAAGGTGTTATAACTGTGGAAGTATAGGTCATAAATCTAACTCGTGTAACAATAAGAGTAAAGGATACAAGTGTTTTAAATGCGATTTGTTGGGACACAAAGCCACAGTCACTGTTGTATTTCGGTTTCTGCTTTTGGATTATAAATACACAAAACAGGTTAAGATGTCAAGATGCGTTTTAATTTGTTAAAAGCATAAAGTACTTTAGTTTTGAATTTAAATTTATAATCTTTCTTCAGTAAATCACTAAGTGGTTTTGCAATTAATGAATAATTAGGTATAAATTTTCCAAAGTAACCAGTTAAACCCAAATAACTTTGAACATCTTTTACACATTTAGGTTCTGGAAAGTTAATTACTGCTTTCATTTTGGAAGAAGAAACATATAATTACCCATCATTAATTTTGTGTCCTAAAAATTCGATTTTGGGCTTCAAAAATTGACATTTCTTAATGTTTAGTTCAGCCCATGTTCTGATACATTCTGTAATACGCGTTTCAATTTTTGGATTCCCTGAGCTTCATCTTCAGAAGGAATAATGATGTCATCCGTA